ACATACATACATACTACATACTACATACATACATACATACATACATACACATACATACATACATACATACATACTACATACATACATACATACATACATACATACATACATACATACATACATACATACATACATACATACATACATACATACATACATACATACATACATATACATACATACATACATACATACATACATACATACATACATACATACATACATACATACATACATACATACATACATACATACATACATACATACATACATACATACATACATACATACATACATACATACATACATACATACATACATACATACATACATACATACATACATACATACATACATACATACATACATACATACATACATACATACATACATACATACATACATACATACATACATACATACAACATACATACATACATACATACATACATACATACATACATACATACATACATACATACATACTACATACATACATACATACATACATACATACATACATACATACATACATACATACATACATACATACATACATACATACATACACATACATACATACATACATACTACATACATACATACATACACATACATACATACATACATACATACATACATACATACATACATAAGACATACATACATACATACATACATACATACATACATACATACATACTACATACATACATACATACATACATACATACATACATACATACATACATACATACATACATACATACATACATACATACATACATACATACATACATACATACATACATACATACATACATACATACATACATACATACATACATACATACATACATACATACATACATACATATACATACATACATACATACATACATACATACATACATACATACATACATACATACATACATACATCATACACATACATACATACATACATACATACATACATACATACATACATACATACACATACATACATACATACAGACATACATACATACATACATACATACATACTACATACATACATACATACATACATACATACATACATACATACATACATACATACATACATACATACATACATACATACATACATACATACATACATACATACATACATACATACATACATACATACATACATACATACATACATACATACATACATACATACATACATACATACATACATACATACATACATACATACATACATACATACATACATACATATACATACATACATACATACATACATACATACATACATACATACATACATACATACATACATACATACATACATACATACATACATACATACATACATACATACATACATACATACATACATACATACATACATACATACATACATACATATATTATATGTATGCTCGTATTTGACTGTAACTCCCCTAACCCGTACCCGACCCGGATACGAATCTGAGGTGTCACATTGACTTTTCAAACATGTACATTTATAAGAACCATAGGAAATTTAAACTTTCATTAACATAAAATTTGTATTTTACATAATTAAGTTCAAAACATTACAAAATTGATCAAAGTACACGTACTTTACAACTCTGTTTACATGCTAACATATCTATTACATAAACAAAACATACTGTGTAAAGTACTTCTGATCTGATCTTCGAGTGGAGATATGCTGCTATGCTGATCCTAAGACTGATCCCCTTGTTTTTCAGTGCCTACAAGTAAAACACTTACACGCTAAGTCATAGACTTAGTGAGACATAAACATATAATAATGAATTTCCTATAAATATGAATATGCAATCTAACTATCCAATACAATTATGCTTATCATATCATAAATCAATAATGCCATATATGAATCAGTATAAACAATAATAACATATTAATATACAATCATGTACATACTCTTTATATCTTTTATAAGCCCATGTACATTACTGAGAACTCAAGGTATACGAGTACTTTGAGGTTGTGCACACATATATTGTCACCACAACTCATATAAGAATTCACTGAGTGGCATGTGAAATCTATGTCCCAAAGGACGTCATCTATGTCCAGAAGGACATATCCATAGGTTCCAAAGAACCTAAGTAACCCTCGACTCTTGGCATGCAAACTATACCTATAACTCTCATATCACATAACATGGGAACTATCATTATGCTTCATCTATTCATGTATTCATATCATTTCTCTTATGATCACATATTTCTTCTCTTCTGTCACATTTCACATATATGTGTAACCATCGATCTCATATCATATAACATATGTTATTCAAGTATATTCACATGAATCAAATAACATGTATCAATCCATACAAACAAATATAATTCATGCAAGTATATGTAGTGATTATAACATATGCATGTCCATAACTACTGTACCATGAAAACTAATATAGGAAATAGACTTATCACAAGTCTTATTTCCATTGGACTACACCTATAGTATGCACTCACCTTAGCCTCACTTAATTTCCAAATCCACCTCTATAATTCCTCTCTTTGGATTGATGCCTAACTCTATGGTTGCTCCGGAATTTGTTTGTGCTCGAAATCTACACAAATATAATCTAATGAATATCAGGAGTTGAATTACTCAAAAAGGATTCATACCAATTAAACTAATAAAACACAAATATCAAATTTCCCAACTCAAGTAGTATCGGTACTACAAGCACAATACCGATACTTCTATTCTATGGTATCGATACCCCCTACGGTATCGATACCAAAATTAGATTCAATGTTGTCTGGTATTGATACCCTTAACATGGTATCGATACTACTATACTATGGTATTAATACATCCACATTGGTATCGATACCCCTAGTATCTATACTACACTTCAGTACCGATACCTCATGAATAACTTTATCAAATTCAGACTTATGGTATCGATACTGTTACCCCCATACCAAATATCATTCTTTTTCTCTTGAAGTATCGGTACTGGATGAAGTAGTATCGATACTCAAGCCCAAATTTTCACATTTTAAATCCGAAAATTTAATCTTATCAGCTCAAACACTTCATGTCTTAATCCCTTTCATATTCTTAACTCAAATACACATACTTAAATCCATTTGTACTCATTTAACACATCTTTACCTTCAAAATTTTATCCTCTCTATAAAAATCAAGAATCATACCAAATTTTCAACATGTTCTAATTTCAATTCTATCACTTCATATCTCTTAATTCAACTAATGACAAGTCAAATTTAGTTTCAAATTCCACTTATCAACTCTTTTCCAATATTTCATTAAGAAACTTCTTATCTTTAATCTCTCCTAACTCCTTCATCTTTTAATTTGAAGATAACTTAAGCTTTCCTTAAGCTTAAGCATCATCTAAGGATCATAAACAACTCTTAAATTCAGCTAATAATCAACTAACAAGAAAACTCACCTTTGCTCATAAGGTTCACGGCTGAAGAAGAAAGTTTTCTGGAGAAATCTTCCTTTTCCTCTTTTATCTTTCTCCACGTGTATATATCCTTACCCCAATATATTTTAATTCATCTTTAGGCAAAATGACCATTTTTCCCTTCCTCTCAACATTCTTTTCTATTTATTCCTACACAAAATTTTCCATATAAGTCCCTGAACTATTCAATTTATATACTTTAGCTAACAAATTCTGAAGTTTTTCAATTTAGTCACTAACCCGGTGTTGAGGATGTTACATTGACATTCATTCAATTTTTAAAATACGAAAAAGAAAATCATTGACTTATCAAGTTATTTATCGAGCTTTGAAAAAGATCAACGAAACATAAAAATAAATCTATTATTAATTTACATAAAGTAATATGTGAAGTAACTCTCGGTATAGGTAAAAGCAAGATGTGTTGGCGGATCGACTCATCGAATTCCCATCAAAATAGGAAGGCAAGCACTGGCCTTAGCTCTCTTAAAATGGAAAAAAATGTATATTAATCCTTAAAATATTAACAAATTATAAATTAGTCCAATGATAAAGTAATACTTTAACCCCTGAGAAATAGTTTTATTTTATTTGCAGATTTGAACATATGTCTACTTGTTATATTTTTAGGCTGCATAGTGCATTTACAAAGGAATCCATGTGAAATCTTTTGGGGTTATGTCTCCATATTTGAAGAAATATAGATATATGTATAAAGAAATGAAACTCAATTTAGATCCGATTTAGATTTTAATATTTAAAACTTATTTTTTATTTAATTAAATTTATCTTTTTTTATAACATGATATTGTTTTTATTTTAATTATTTTTTAGAAAAAATTATTTTAATTTAATTTAAGGTTTAAAATTCAGGATTTTAATTTTTAAAATTTATAGTTAAAATAAATGTAGAATAAATTTTACAAATTACACAATATGTGTATTAAATAATAATTCTAGAAATATATACAACGATAGATCCAAAAATTTAAAAATGAAGTTCAAAATGTTAGTATTCATTTTTAGAAAAAGAATAGATATGTAAATTTTCTTATCTTTCCACTTTTCCTTAATGCACTAATAAATTTATCAATTTTGTTTTCATAATAATGAGTATGCTCTCGTTTCCCTAAGAGATTTAGTGCATGCACCCATGATATACATGATTCAATAGATAAATCATAGTTAAAAGGCATAATGATAAAATTACCCCCAACATTTGCAAAACAAATTACTTTGTCCCCGTATATATATATATATTTGATCATTTTATCCCAACGTTATAATTTTTTGTCAAAACAACTCATGTAGGATGAAAACAGTTAGTTGACTAATTATCAACATATGTTACTTATATGACATTTATATGTAGGATGAAAACAGTTAGTTTGGCGCTTGCGTAAGTTCCCATCTTCCACAAATTTTATTTTCAAAATTCGAATTCGATTCAAATTAAATATTAGTTAAATTTTTAGTTATTCAAATAAAAAATCATAACCGAGTCGAATTCGTTTTTTTTTTCCAGATGGGAAATTCAGCATCTGTTCAAGCTGCTATTACAAAGGATTTTCACTTATCTATCGCCGAGGTTTGCTCTATAGTTATAAAGAAGATATAATAAAAGTTAATAAGTTTGAGTTTTAAAAGATTATATCAATTACATTTGTAAGATGCATACGTGTTATCAATAGAGTAAAAAATATTCTGAACAAATATTACTTGTAATCACTTCAAACTATTAAAAAATATATTTCTATTTGTAAAAAAAAAGTATATAATATAAATAAATTCAAATATTTAAGTATTTTAGTACATTTAAAAGTTTTTCTAAAAGACCATATCTGGGTGTATCTATTTATAACTATTTTTAAAAACTATTATTAATTATTAAGTTTATGTTTTTTAAAATATTTTAAGATTTAAATATCAAATTTAATTAATTATTAATTAAATCAATCAAATTAAAATTGAATTTCGAGAAACCTTGCTTATTCATATTTCATAAATTCTGATTTGTAGGATATATATGTATTTAGTTTTCAGTATTTGGTTCCATACCGAATGTTGGTGCAATCACGAGTGGAAGAATTGCGGATTTCGTCGGCCGGAAAGGGGTAATCCAATTTCCAAAAATTTATACTTCATTGTCACAAATGAAAATCACTTTATATATATATATATAGTTCTAAGATCCACGTATATCTAGTGTAAAACTTTTAGTTTTATTCCTTTTAAGGATCGTTGGATGAGAGTAAATTAAAGGATGAGATTAACTCTTTACTTTTTTTTTCTAGTGAATATCTTCTCATTTTCCATTGTTAATCTGAATAGGATCTTGTTATACAATGTAAAATTATTTTTATTTTACATAGATTTACGACAGTTGGATGAGTGAAAATAGATAGTTGAGATTAACAGTAGTAAATGAGAATATATTCAATGAAAAAAAAACAAGTAGTTACTTTCAATCATATATTTTCACTCATCCAACAGTCCTAAGTCTGTGTTAAACTAAAAAGTTTAATGTCGTGTAAGTGGATCATAACCCTATATAGGATAGGATCATGTTACAATGTAAAACTATTTTGGTTTTACACAAATTTAGGACCATTGGATGAGTGAAAATAGATGGCTGACATTAATAGTAAGAAATGAAAAGACATTCATTGGAAAAAAACAAGGAGTTAATCTCAGCCATCTATTTTTACTCATCCAAAGATCCTAAATCTGTGTAAAACTAAAAAGTTTTACGTTATGTAAATGGATCCTAATCATATAATAGGCTTAATATAAAAATAAGTGCTCAAACTATACCATTTTCTCATTTAGGTGCCTAAAATTATTTTTTGGTCAATTCAAGTGTCTAATAAACGTTACCATTTTAAGTGCCCCGATCGTAACGATTGTTAAAAAAATATGTTAAGTGACATGTATCATGTTTATATTTTTAAATTTTTTATTTAAAAATTAAAAAAAAACAATTTCCCTTCCCTCTGCCATGCCTCCCCCTCTCTGCTTCCCCCCACCACTTCTCGGACCATCCCTCTCTCTTCCCTCATTGGGAAAAATCAGTCCCTCTTCATCCAATAATTTTAGGGTTAGGAATTTAAGATCTCATTCACTAATTTTAGGATTAAATATTTATGGTTTATGAAATTAGAGGTTTGAGATGACAAAAAAGATGATGGCTGGTCAATGGACGGATGGCGATAGAGATGGTGACTGAAGATGGTTGGTGATGACTAAAAATGAGGATTAAAATTAAAGATTTTAAGATTTTGAGGTTTTTATTATAAATTTAAAGAGTTTGATTTTTTTTTAAAAAATTTAAGGTTATTTTGAAAAAAAAATAAAAATTTTAAAAAATAAATAAACATGACATGTGTCACTTAACGAAATTTTTTAACGACTGTCACGGCCGAGACACTTGAAATGATATACATTTACAACGTTAGACACCTGGATTGACCGAAAAAAGTTTAGGCAACTAAATGGAAAAAAATTGTATAGTTTGGGCACTTTTTTATATTAAGCATATATATATATATATATATATGGGATATGATCCAATAACATAGTGTTAAACTTTTTTGTTTTTGGATCACAACCGTTTATTTACACTCGTCCAACTGACCTAAATCTGTGTAAAACTAAAAAGAAAGTTTTATATTGTGTAAGTAGATCCTAATCTTTTATATATATATTTCCAGTGAATATCTTATTATTTCCTACTATTAATCTCAACCATCTATTTTCACACATCCAACGGTCCAAAATCTGTGTCAATCTAAAGAAATTTATATTGTGTAAGTGAATCCTAACTCATATATATATATATATATATATATATATATATATATATATATATATATATATATATATATATATAATATATATATATATATATATATATATATATATAATACTCCAGTTATAATATTCATGGATAAATTGATAAGGTGTTAGGAAGTTCACATTCTCTAAAATTTTAAATTCTTATGATTTAAATTTTTCTATATTTTCTATTTAATAATATAATTTTATACTCCTTAAATTTATAATATAAATTCCTAAAATTTTATATCATTTAACATAAATTACTGCGATATGATTGTCCTTGATTATATCTAAAAAGAAATTGATTCAGGCAATGAGAGTATCTTCTGCCTTCAGCATTACAGGATGGATAGCTATTTACTTCTGCGAGTTTGTGTTTATTCCGTTGCTTTTATTAGAATAAATCGAATATGAATGATTATATGAAATAATTAAATTAAATTTTAGAGTTAATGGTTTTACTTTTGCAGGGTGCATTGCTACTTGATATTGGAAGATTGCTATGTGGTTGGCATTTCTCATGAATCTCTTCTGATTTATCATAATCCGTAATATAATTATTTTTAGGGTAACTTATATTTTTGGGTCACTTAATTATTTTCTATATTATTGTTTTGGTCATTATATTTTAAATTCTTTTAATTTTATCGTCCAACTTTCAAATTTCACACTTTTTAACCATTTGACCGTTAAGTCTTTAACAATGTTTATATTTTGTTAGTAAGTTTATGCGAAAACCCCCAAAACTTTCTTCTCAAATCTAGATTTTTAAACTCCTTTTGGTTCACTAACATTAAAGTATTTTCTTCCAAATATAAACGACAGAAAGATTGAAAAGGAGGATAATCGACCAGTGGATATTGTATATCAAACTAAAAAAAGGTGTAAACTTTAATTTAAATTTTATACATTTTGAAAAAAACAAATTAATAAGAAAAAAGAGGGGCAAAAGGGGGAATATTTTGGTACCAATTATGTCCCAAACGACGGTTGATGATGGTAGAACGATGGTAAAAAAGATTTGGTCATGAGTAAGAAGAATGTTAAAATATTAGGTTAGTTTTGTAACATCCTCAATACCGGGTTAGTGACCAAATTGAAATATTTCAGAATTTGATGATTAAAGTAGAATAATTGAATAGTTCAATGATTTATCTGGAAATATTTCCTAAAAGTTGTTAGTAATTATTAAAGGAATTAAAGGGCAAAATGGTCATTTGACAAGGAAAACTTTTATATTCCTTTTATAAGATAAGGGAACCACGTGGGAAATGAGAGAATTCTCCAGAGTTTTCTTTTTTCTTCTTCCTCCTCCCGTATCTCCAAGCTCAAAGGTGAGTTTCTTTGTTTGTTGATTAATTGTTGATTTTAAGGTTGAGTTATGATCATTAGATGATAATTAAGCTTATGCAAAGCTTAATTTGTTCTAAAACAACAAGATGAAAGGTATAAAAGAGATTAAAGAAAATGAGTTTTTAGATGAATTTCTGGAAAAGAGTTAATAAGTGAAATTTGAGAAGGAATTTGACTTGTCATCACTAAGAAGAAGAGATTTATGAAGTTAGAAAGGATTAATAACAAAGTTGAAAGTTTAGTAAGATTCTTAATTTTAAGAATCATGATGAGATATGGAAGATAAAGATGGTTTATATGAATACAAGTTGGTTTAAGTAATGATATTTGAGTTTAATGACATGATAGGGGATTAAAATAGAAGAATTGAATGAAGAGTTGATGATTTTCGGGTGTAAAATACAAATTTTGGGCAAAGTGTATCGATGCACATTCAATGTGTACCAATGCAGTCTTTAAAGAAGAAACATCGAATGCCTTGAGTGTACCGATGCACAGTTAGTGCATCGATGCACCCCTTAAGATCAAACATCGAAGGTGATTTGGGTACCGATGCACAGGTAGTGCATCGATGCAAACGTTATGGAATGCATCGATACACTGTAGAGTGCATGGATGCATACCTTCATTAAAAGATGAAAATAGCTTTCTTTTAGCCTAAGAAGTGACAGTTTAGAAGATATCAATTCGTATACTGATATGTATCAATGTATTACTATATAGATATATGATGGTGTATATTTCGATCGAGAGCAACGTCCAGAAAAGTTTACAAGTAATAGTCATTGGGAAGAATTAAGAGATCGATATTGACTAGTGAGGCCAGGTGAGTGCATATTAGATATAATATGATGTTTAATGGAAATAAGACTTGCAACAAGTCTATTTCTGATAGTAGTATGCATGAATTCATGAACTTGAGTATGTGTTTATTATGGGTGTATAAGTAATATGTTATTGTATGTGTGACATGATTTGTATGAATTTATGTTAGTGTGATAAGATATAAGAACCGGTATAATTAATATATATGTTTACATAAATTATATGATGATATAAGAATAGATATGAAAATTATATGAGTATAAAAGATAAGTCATATGATAAGATTTAGGTAATTTATGAAAATGAAAATATATGAATATGAAGAGTTATAAGAGAACAAATATAAGTTATATGATAATGAAATACAAGACTATGTGAATATATGGTTATACGATAAAATATGTAATAACAGGAGAATATGATGGAAGTGAATTCATGATAACAATAGGAACTAGGTGAACATGTATAAAGGTTATATGAATAATGGAAACATGAATTAGACAAGTACATAGTGATATGATCAATTATGAGAATTAGTGTATTAGATATTATATGATTTATGAGAATTTAAGAAAACTAGACAATATTGAATTATAAAATGAACTGAGAATAATATATCACTTAGTAAACTAGTATAGAAAGTGATGATATACACATATAATATAAGATATATGTTTATAAATATGACCTATGTTATGTAATATAAGTGCATAGCAAGAAATAAAGAATAAGATAGATGATACGATATAAATTATATTATGAATTAGTGAGGTAGGAATACGATATATAAATATGCAATAAAAGTTATGTGTTATATGATAAATATAAACATATGAGAACAAGAGATAAATTATATGAGAAAGATTTATAGGCTTAATTGAAGCCATAGGAAGATGTTATAGGAGCTATTTGATGATAATTTATGAGAACACATGTATATGTGATAAACTATGTGAAACTGAACTAAGGTAATATATATATAACTGATGTGAGTATAAAAGTACAAACCATAAGTTATATGATACGCGATAAGTTATTATATGTACATGATGTATGTTATGAGATGTGATCTATGTGATTACAGTAGAAATGATAATAGCTATATGAGTATATGTACACGTGAACTATATGGAAATGAACTACGTGACTATGTGTGATCTTATGGAAATATGATAATGAGTTATGTGGAAGAACTATGAGATTATATGTATATGTGAATGTGAGATAATCTAAATATTAATGCCCATGTTATGTGTTAAGAGAGCTAGAGGTATAGTTGGCTTGCCATGATTCGAGGGTCTACGCGATCCTTCGGGACATATATGTATTCTTTGGAACATGTATGAGGTCTTTTGAGACACATATTTGGTCATTAGCATATGTATATGATTCTTAAGGAATTTTCTACGTGGTCCTTAAGGACATTTTATATGGCACTTCGGTGTAATTCTACGTGGCACTTCGGTGCATTTATACGAGCTGTGGTGACAACATTAGTGCATAACCTCTAATGACTCACATATCAATAGTTCTCACATATGTACATGGGCTAATCAAGAGATAATAACAAATATATGTTGTGATATGATAAATTTTATAGCAAGGACATGGTAAGGTATGGGTATAGTATATGATTAAGAAGGTTAAGTATATGTGCTATGTGATTAAATGGTAATTGACTAATGATGATTCATATGTATGCATGTATTTCTTATTAGATAATCTGATATGATTTATATGATGATGTTTGTATTGCTTCGTTAATTGAATCATATGTTGAGTAAAAGAATAGATATAAGAGAATATAATTATAAGATATAAATGATAAGAATATTGATAGTGGAATAAGGTTAGAGATGAAAACAATGTTTGATATGTATATGTGTATAGTACGTTATATATAATGTTATATTGTTTTGATGTGGCATTATAAGATGATATGTTCATGCATGTGTAATTAGTTAGAGTTCTTTTATAAATTAATGTCTCACTAAGTCATAGACTTAGCGTGTAAGTGATTTACACGTAGGTTTCAAGAAGAGTAAAGAGCGATGTGGAGCAAGACATGTCAGCATTTCCTTACTGAAGGTCAGATCAGAAGAGAGGTGAATAATATGTATTTTAATATATAAAGTTTTAGTTAGCATGTATTCAAAAGAATATATTGTATAAGCTCTGAATGGTTCTGTAAACGTTTTGAATAAGTTATATGTTATAAAAGTTTTAAATTACTCATTATTTTATACAAGTAAATATTTTGAAAAGTCAATGTGACACCTCAGATCCGGATCTGGGTCGAATACGGGTTGAGGGTGTTATATTTAATTGTATCAGAGCTAAGGTTTAGCCGATTCTAGGCTTAAACCGAAGTTAAATGAGATTTAAAATGTGTACATGCCAACACAAAGTCAGTAATTTCTGATCTGAAACATTATAAGGTAGATGATGTCTTGCTAATAGAATAAGAATAGTATGATATAGTAGAAATTTGATTGCAATAATTTCAAAATGAGGTGAGAGGTAAATCTGATTGTGATAGCGATTCACCTGCCCTGGCCTAGAAGGATGAAGAGCGGACACATCAGGAAACGCCTCGGAAGATCAAAAATTGATTTCAGAAAGTTGAAATCATATTAGAATAGTGATAGCATATTTTCACAGTTTTGAATCGAAAAAATGAGGTGAAGTATTCTTATTATTTCATGGATAAGATATAATATGGTGAACAAGTGTCACCATAAGAAAGTTAAAAGATCTAAAGATGTGGTTAGAATTTGTAGAAGAGTTTAAGAATAAGTGCATCAATGACAAGCGTATAAGATATAGAAAGCCAGAGTTTATGAGTTGAAACAAAGGATAGTGTTGTGTATAAGCAAAAGTGTGGATATGATAAGAGGTTGCATTTTAGATGGAAATAGTTGGTGTTGGCTAACCAGATTATGTGATGAAAGGTATATTGAAGTTGAAAGATTTTAAGATATTGACAGGTTAAAATAACCAAATATAAAGTGGATCTAGATACAGTTGTATAGTTGGATCTTAGTAATGTGATATAGTGAATGAAGTGAGGATTTGTATATTTGAGTAAAGCTAAAGATTGATAAGAAGAGTTTAAGAATGAATACATCAGTGATTAGTTTATAAGACAAAGGAAGTCAGAATGTTAAGTTTGAACAACGGAAATCACATGGTGTATGAGAATGAATATGAATTTGATAAGTTAAGTAAACTATGGTTGAGATAATTCTGAGTGGAAAGAGTGTATATGATTAATTGATTAGGGCTTGTGGCCTAGATTGAACAGTTGTTATTGACTAGCTGTCAAAGTAAATGTGATAGAGTTATAAGATTGGAAGAAAAGATAAAGTGGAGTTAAGCAAGTATGATATGAACCTAGATGTGGTTATGTATTTTGATTATACAGATATGGTGTAGGCAAGGAGATAAGTATTGGTATGTTTTAAAAAGGAGGCTTTAAAGAAGGAAATAAAAGTACAAGAGATGATAAAGAATGAGATTCTATATGAGTAAGTTGATTATTAAAGTTATGAGGAGGTGATAAAGATCGGTAATCAGAGATGAATATAAGTGATAGGAAAAGAATATGTGAGCATGAAAGAAAAGATATGATTTATGTATAGGGAGATTTTGATTTTGAATGAATAAAGGAATAATGGAATAAAAAAATGAAAATGATTGAGTTTAAAGGATCAGATATGATAAAGATTATATGGAAGTGTAGATGATAAGTTTGATATAGAAGTAAGAAAATTGTGCAAGCTGATGTGAAAAGATTGTTTGATTTTGTAAAGTATATGTTTAATCACATTTGAAGAAGATTTAAGGTTGTGTTCTTGGTTGAATGATGATAGAATAAGAGTTTAATTATTGTTATGAAGTAATTAGAGATGGATTTATGATGTTGAGTGATGAAAATGGATGTTATTGTCTACATGATGAGTGACATTATATATATATTTTAAAAGGACAAAGGAAATATGCATAATTAAAGGAGATAAAAGACAGAAATGAATGGAGTTCTTTAGGAAATTGAAGTCAAATCACTGATCATAAATTACAAACGAATAAAGTTGAGAAAACAACATGAGAATATTAGAAGATATGTTCTTATCAAGATGCGTAGTGAAAATTCGGGGACGAATTTTCTTTAAAGGATGGGAGATTTGTAACATCCTCAATACCGGGTTAGTGACCAAATTGAAATATTTCAGAATTTGGTGATTAAAGTAGAATAATTGAACAGTTCAATGATTTATCTGGAAATATTTCCTAAAAGTTGTTAATAATTATTAAAGGAATTAAAGGGAAAAATGGTCATTTGACAAGGAAAATTTTTATATTCCTTTTATAAGATAAGGGAACCACGTAGGAAATGAGAGAATTCTCCAGAGTTTTCTTTCTTCTTCTTCCTCCTCCCGTATCTCCAAGCTCAAAGGTGAGTTTCTTTGTTTGTTGATTAATTGTTGATTTTAAGGTTGTGTTATGATCATTAGATGATAATTAAGCTTAAGGAAAGCTTAATTTGTTCTAAAACAACAAGATGAAAGATATAGATGAGATTAAAGAAAATGAGTTTTTAGATGAATTTCTGGAAAAGAGTTAATAAGTGAAATTTGAGAAGGAATTTGACTTGTCATCACTAAGAATAAGAGATTTATTAAGTTAGAAAGGATTAATAACAAAGTTGAAAGTTTAGTAAGATTCTTAATTTTAAGAATCATGAAGAGATATGGAAGATAGAGATGGTTTATATGAATACAAGTTGGTTTAAGTAATGGTATTTGAGTTTAATGACATGATAGGGGCTTAAAATAGAAGAATTGAATGAAGATTTGATGATTTTCGGGCGTAAAATACAAATTCTGGCCAAAGTGTATCGATGCACATTCAATGTGTACCGATGCAGTCTTTAAAGAAGAAACATCGAATGCCTTGAGTGTACCGATGCACAGTTAGTGCATCGATGCACCCCTTAAGATCAAACATCGAAGGTGATTTGGGTACCGATGCACAGGTAGTGCATCGATGCAAACGTTATGGAATGCATCGATACACTGTAGAGTGCATCGATACATACCTTCATTAAAAGATAAAAATAGCTTTCTTTTAGCCTAAGAAGTGACAGTTTAGAAGATATCAATTAGTATACTGATATGTATCAATGTATTACTATGTAGAGATATGATGGTGTAGATTTCGATCGAGAGCAACGTCCAGAAAAGTTTACAAGTAATAGTCATCGGGAAGAATTAAGAGATCGATATTGACTAGTGAGGCCAGGTGAGTGCATATTAGATATTATATGATGTTTAATGGAAATAAGACTTGCAACAAGTCTATTTCTGATAGTAGTATTCATGAATTCATGAACTTGAGTATGTGTTTATTATGGGTGTATGAGTAATTTGTTATTGTATGTGTGACATGATTTGTATGAATTTATGTTAGTGTGATAAGATATAAGAACCGGCATAATTAATATATATGTTTACATAAATTATATGATGATATAAGAATAGATATGAAATTATATGAGTATAAAAGATAAGTCATGTGATAAGATTTAGGTAATTTATGAAAATGAAAATATATGAATATGAAGAGTTATAAGAGAACAAATATAAGTTATATGATAATGAAATACAAGACTATGTGAATATATGGTTATACGATAAAATATGTAATAACGGGAGAATATGATGAAAGTGAATTCATGATAACAATAGGAACTAGGTGAACATGTATAAATGTTATATGAATAATGGAAACATGAATTAGACAAGTACATAGTGATATGATCAATTATGAGAATTAGTGTATTAGATATTATATGATTTATGAGAATTTAAGAAAACTAGACAAGATTGAATTATAAAATGAACTGAGAATAATATATCACTTAGTAAACTAGTATAGAAAGTGATGATACACACATATAATATAAGATATATGTTTATAAATATGACATATGTTATGTAATATAAGTGCATACCAAGAAATAAAGAATAAGATAAATGATACGATATAAATTATATTATGATTTAGTGAGGTAGGAATGCGATATAAATATGCAATAAAAGTTATGTGTTATATGATAAATATAAACATATGAGAACAAGAGATAAATTAAATGAGAAAGATTTATAGGCTTAAATGAAGCCATAGGAAGATGTTATAGGATCTATTTGATGATAATTTATGAGAATACATGTATATGTGATAAACTATGTGAAACTGAACTAAGGCAATATATATATAAATAATGTGAGTAAAAAAGTACAAACCATAAGTTATATGATATACGATAAGTTATTATATGTACATGATGTATGTTATAAGATTTGATCTATGTGATTACAGGAGAAATGATAATAGCTATATGAGTATATGTACATGTGAACTAGATGGAAATGAACTACGTGCCTATGTGTGATCTTATGGAAATGTGATAATGAGTTATGTGGAAGAACTATGAGATTATATGTATATGTGAATATGAGATAAACTAAATATTAATGCCCATGTTATGTGTTAAGAGAGCTAGAGGTATAGTTGGCATGCCAAGAGTCGAGGGTCTACGCGGTCCCTCGGGACATATATGTATTCTTTGGAACATGTATGAGGTCTTTTGAGACACATATTTGGTCCTTATCATATGTATATGATTCTTAAGGAATTTTCTACGTGGTCCTTAGGGACATTTTATATGGCACTTCGGTGCAATTATACGCGGCACTTCGGTGCAATTCTACGTGGCACTTTGGTGCATTTATACGAGCTGTGGTGACAACATTAGTGCACAACCTCTAATGACTCACATATCAATAGTTCTCACATATGTACATGGGCTAATCAAGAGATAATAACAAATATATGTTGTGATATGATAAATTTTATAGCAAGGACATGATAAGGTATGGGTATAGTATATGATTAAGAAGGTTAAGTATATGTGCTATGTGATTAAATGATAAGTGACTAATGATGATTCATATGTATACATGTATTTCTTATAAGATAATCTGATATGATTTATATGATGATGTTTGTATTGCTTCGTTAATTGAATCATATGTTGAGTAAAAGAATAGATATAAGCAAATATAATTATAAGATATAAATGATAAGAATATTGAATGTGGAATATGGTTAGAGATGAAAACAATGTGTGATATGTATATGTGTATAGTACGTTATATATAATGTTATATTGTTTTGATGTGGCATTATAAGAAGATATGTTCATGCATGTGTAATTAGTTAGAGTTCTTTTATAAATTAATGCCTCACTAAGTCATAGACTTAGCGTGTAAGTGATTTACACGTATGTTTCAAGAAGAGTAAAGAGCGATGTGGAGCAAGACAGGTCAGTATCTCCTTACTGAAGGCCAGATCAGAAGAGAGGTGAATAATATGTATTTTAATATATAAAGTTTTAGTTGGCATGTATTCAAAAGAATATATTGTATATGCTCTGAATGGTTCTGTAAACATTTTGAATAAGTTATATGTTATAAAAGTTTTAAATTACTCACTATTTTATACAAGTAAATGTTTTAAAAAGTCAATGTGACACCTCGGATTCGGATTTGGGTCGGATACGAGTTGGGGGTGTTAGAAGTTTAGTAAATGAAGTGTAAAAAAAAATTGAAATCTCACCAAAAGAATGATTTTTGAAACTTGAGTGACAAAATCAAAAAATTTTAAAATTGGATAACCAAAACAAAAATATGATAAAGATTAATTGACTAATGTATAGTTTACCCTTTTTCTTCTTCTTCGTATTATTATTGTTATATAAAACTACTTGAACAGTCCCGTATGTGTAGCTGAAATCGTCCCCAAGGATCTTCGTGGTGGGTTAGACACCTTGAATCAGGTTACAATTCCATTTCATTTTTAGTTAAAAGTATTTATATTCGACACATATTTAAATACATATTCATATATGTATCAAACACATATTATTTAATATTTACGAACGAATTCGAGTAACGAAATGTGTACATGTATCAGGTTGTTAACATGATCTGGTTTTGGCAGCTAACGATCATGATAGGAGGATCGACGTCCTACCTAGCTGGGACAGCTTTGCAATGGCGACTGTTAGCTCTGACTGGTAGGGTTTCGAAGAATCAAAGATCAGGAATTTAAATAGTGATCCACTATCAGAATTGTGGTTGTTATATAACGATTCTGGCGCCATTCAATATTGTTAGTGCATGATTGCGGTACTCGTAATGACTTGAATAATAGTCGTTATGTCGATAATCGTGATAGATGTAACGTAAACAAAAATACTATCACGACCGTAATTTAATTTAAATCCTTACCAAAGATTAAATTTATTCAACCCCTTTCACCATTAATTTTTTGTTTTAATACAAATTTTATTTCTTTCGAAGGAATCATCCCATGTTTAATTCAGCTTGCGGGTCTTGTTTTCATCGCCGAGTCTCCGAGATGGCTGGTAAGCACTCAACCACTAAAGACATAGACGTGTTAAAATCAATTATTGAAGGGATAAATTTTTTTTGTATTAAAAAATAAATATTTAATAAATATTTAAATCTAAAAATTAGACAAGACAAAAAATTTATTTAATTAATATTTAAGTTAAAAAAAATTAAAATATCATTATACCAAAAATTTTGAGAAGGAAACAGTCTCTCCTAACCACTATGTAGCTTCATCTGACTAAAAATATAGCTATGTACTCCGTTCTTACTCGTATTTGTGTGTAAGTGTTGGATATTGTTAAAGATAATGTCGAATGATTGATTGTATAAATAGGGACACAATATATATTGAACATAAAATTTTGACTCAATAAATTTCACTCAATTTAATCATATAGGGTTGTGATTCTTTTTAAAAAAAATTCAGATTTAGGTTTGGTCAAACTTTTTGAAGGATAAAATAGAGCCAGTCATATTCAAATTTAGGGTCAAAATCTCCGACTCGATCCGAGAAAATAAAATAACTATTTTTATATATTTTGGGATAATTTTAATAATATCATTGTCTCTATATTTTTTCAATTAGATCATTATTTTGCTTAATAAAAAATTATATATATATATATATATTTGTATCAAGTCCGATCAGGTTAGATCCGGTCAGGTGTTAGTTTCTTCCCTAAAATTAGATTAGATTTCGGATCGAATGAAATCTCCTTAAATTCAAATGGGATGATGAGTGGAGAGGTAGAATGTTCAAGTTAAGTTCGAGTCAACAAAAATTTGACCCTACTCGACCCATGTCCATTCCTAGGTACAAAACCCTACTCTCTACTCAAACTAAAAACATTGATAGATGTTTGTAGTCGTACGAGCATAAAATCCTAACTAATAAACATGTACCATATTTTTTTTAACTACAATTTAATTTTTCATAGAACTGATCTTACTGTAAATATTTTGAGTTAAATTAGAATTTAAGTTATATTCTCTATCTGATACAAATATATTCAATTTGTTTTAATTTTCAATTTATGATTTCAGGCAAAGGTTGGATACGAGAAAGAGTTCTACAATGCTTTGAGGAGACTCCATGGAGATAATGCTGATGATATTTCTCATGAAGCAAATGAAATCCAAGTACTCATCAACATTCAACTTTACAATTTCCCCCTCTTTTAAACTAAAATTAATGCTGATATTAAGTTTTCTTCTTCTTCTTTTTACAGGATTATTTGCAAACCCTAAAGCACCAGTCTACAGCCGGCATGCTAGACTTGTTCCAAAGAGAATACATGCGTTCGATCATCGTAAGCATTTTAACACCTTAAACTCGTCAGATTCGACGATCCACCATAATACATACGTAGAGGTCTTATATGTGTCACGCTATGTGCTTCACATAAGGGTCAATGGATTATTTACGAGAATGATAAAATACATTGGTTTCATGTCAAATAAGGGTCAATGGATTAGAAAAGAATGATGAAATTTAAAATGCGAAATAAAAGCGGAAAAATAATACCCGAAATTGATAACGGAGGTTTCATGTCAAATAAGAAAGAGAAAGTCTTGAAATTTAAAAACGATGACGTTACGTGTTCATTTTTTGTTTCACGAATAGTGTTTGTTGTTGGGAAATAAATCAAGAACGAGTAATTTCCCTATAACCAGATTAGTGAGAATGCGAAATAAAAGCGGAAAAATAATACCCGAAATTGATAACGGAGTTAAGCCAATTTTGCTTACGTCTCCGGACTGCTGCAGATCTTTTACTAAGAGAGAAAATTTACATGTGTTTACAAAACACTCACTACTCACAAGAAAGCTCTCTAGTATTGGGAGAAAGAAATGATTTTTTGGGATGATTTTGAAGCTAAATGGGTTAGGGTATTTATAGTTGAAGCTTAAGGACTAATCTTATAAATACCCTAAAGTCCAGTGACTAATTATAATTATCCTATTACAATTTTTCAACAAACATCTACCAAACTTTGAAAAACCATTTTCCAAAGAAACGTTTACCAAACTTTGAAAACCATTTTCAAAGAAACATTTACCAAACTTTGAACTTTTAACAATCTCCCACTTGAAGACTGATTTTAATCTGTCTTCACACCTCGATTAATGCAACAATTTTTCTAGTCTTGTAACTCTAGCATGTCAACTGAAGTTGAACACAACTTCAGTTTGTCTGTAGTCACTGTCTTTGTCAACATGTCTGCCGGATTTTGAGCTCCACTAATCTTTTCAAGTTTCAAAATCCCATCTTCCAGAAGAGACCGGATAAAATGATATCTCAATTGTATGTGCTTCGTCCTAGAATGAAAAGACGGATTCTTTGCTAGATGGATAGCACTTTGACTGTCGCAATACAAGACATTGTTTTCTTGTTTCTAGCATAACTCTTCCAAGAAACTTTGGAGCCAGACCATCTCCTTGATGGCTTCCGTAACAGCGACATATTTTGCTTCAGTTGTGGAGAGAGCAACTATCTTCTGTAATTGAGAAACCCAACTCATTGCAGTACCTCCTAGAGTATAGACATACCATGTAGTGCTCCTTCTGATGTCAACATTTCTAGCTAAGTCAGCATCTACATAGCCTGTCAGTATTGTATCTCCACATTTGAAACAAAGTGCTTTGTTTGTAGTACCTCGCAGATATCTGAGGATCCATTTGACAGCTTCCAAGTGTACTTTGTCCGGATTATTCATGTACCTGCTAACAACTCCCACTGCTTGAGCAATATCTGGTCTGGTACAAAACATGGCATACATTAGACTTCCAATTGCTGAGGCATACGACACCTTCACCATGTGAGCACGTTCTTCCCCCGTCTTTGGTGATTGTTCTTTGGAGAGTCTAAAATGAACACCTAAAGTTGTACTTAGTGGTTTAACATCTTGCATGTTGAACCTGGAGAGTACTTTGTTGATGTACTCAGCCTGTGATACCATCAAAGTCCCCGACTTTGTGTCTCTCTTGATCCTCATCCCAAGAATCTGCTTTGTAGCTCCCAGATCTTTTATAGCAAACTGCTTCGACAATTTTTGCTTCAAGTTTATAATCGCTTGCATGTCTGAGCCTGCAACGAGCATGTCATCAACATACAACAATAAAATAATGACGCTTTTGTCGAACCTCTTGATGTAGCAACAATGATCTGCTTGGCATCTGGTAAAACCACTGCTACTCATGAAGTTGTCGAACTTCTTGTACCACTGTCTAGGAGCTTGTTTTAAACCATACAAGCTCTTCTTCAACCTGCATACCAGGTTTTTCTTGCCTGCCTTAATGAATCCTTCTGGCTGCCTCATATAGATTTCTTCCTCCAAATCACCTTGAAGGAAAGCTGCCTTTACAATTAACTGCTCAAGATGTAAATTCTCTGCAGCTACAATTTTCAACACCAGTCTAATTATAGATAGCTTCACGACTGGAGAGAAAATTTCATTGTAGTCAATACCTTCTTTTTGCTAAAAGCCTTTGACAACCAATCTTGCTTTGTAGCATTTACTCCCATCGTGCTCTTCTTTGATCCTGCAAATCCACTTGTTATGGAGCGCTTTCTTGCCTAGTGGTAATTCAACTAATTCCCAAGTCTGATTTTACATAAGCGAGTCCAACTCATCTTTCATGAAAGACTCCCACTTGACTGAATTATCCACCTGCATTGCTTCATCATAGCACTTTGGTTCACCATTATCAGTCAGCAACAAGTAGTGCAAAGAAGGCGAATAACGCTGGGTTGGTTTAGGAATTCTAGAGGAGCATCTTAGTTCTAGTGTGCCTGGTTCTTCTTGAACTGCTTCAGGACTGATCTGAACATCATTTCCAGAAATCTCCTCGAATTCAACAAATTCCTTTGTTTCAGCTTCGATATTTGAGCTACTTGATTCTACAGTTGACTTGTCTTTGTACATCACATTCTCATTGAAAATGACATCTATGCTTCTGATGATCTTCCGATTTTCATAGTCCCAAAATCGGTAACCGAACTCATCACTGCCATAACCAACAAATGCACATTTGTTGGACTTAGCATCAAGTTTACTTCTTTCAGCAGAATCTATGTGTACATAAGAAATACAACCAAACACTCTTAAGAGTGAAAGATTTATTTCTTTCTTGCTCTAAACTTCCTATGGTATTTTTCCATCCAAAGGAACTAAGGACCCACAGTTGATCAGGTAAGTTGTAGTGTTGATAGCTTCAGCCCATAGAAATTTAGGCAATCCGGCATGTATCCTAATGCTTCTGGCACGTTCATTCAGAGTTCTATTCATGCGCTCTGCTACGCCATTCTGCTGCGGTGTCATGGGAAATGTTCTCTCCATCTTGATCCCATTGTTTGCGCAAAATTCTCTGAATCTACTATTTTTGTACTCTCATCTATTGTCAGACCTCAACCGCTTGACTTTCAGACCAGTCTCATTTTCCACCATGACCTTCCATTTTCTGAAGGTATCAAAGACTTCTGATTTCTTCTTCAGAAAATAAACCCACACCTTTCTTGTTGAATCATCGATGAAGGTGACATAATATAATGAGTCTGCAAAAGATGGAACTGGAGATGGTCCCCATACATCAGTATGAACCAACTCTAACTTTTCTGCCTTGGGTGTCTTGCCAATCTTTGCAAATCTGACTTTATTTTGTTTGCCAAAGATGCAATCCTCGCATAGTCCGACATCTACATTCTTTATATCTGACAGCTTCCCTTTTGACAAAAGTGTCTTCATCCCTTTCTCGCTCATATGGCCAAGCCTTTGGTGCCATAGGTTTGATTTTCCATCAGCATCTACTACTGCAATGATATTCTCTAAATTTGAGGTTACATAGAGAGTACCAGTCTTCTTACCACGAGCTATGACGAGTGCTCCTTTGGTAATCTTTCATTCACAGCCTGAAAAGGTTGTGCTATATCCTTCTCCATCAAGCTGTCCTACAGAAATCAAATTTCTTTTGAGGCCAGGAATATGTCTCACTCTTTTCAGTGTCCAGGTGGTCTGGTTTAGCAACTTTAATCGGATGTCTCCTTTTCTGACAATCTTCAAGGTTTCATCATCATATAGATGAACCTTACCAAAATCACCACTGACATATTTCTCCATGATTTCTCGGCATGGGGTGGAGTGGAAAGATGCCCCTGAATCTAAGATCCATTATTCAATTGGACTGTCAACGCTTAGAATCATGGCATCATCTATCTCTTCTGTCATGTTGGCAGAATTCTATGTGACAGTATCTTTCTTCAGTGCTCGACAATCTCTTTTAAAGTGACCCTTCTTGCCACAATTATAACAGGTAAAATCTTTCTTTCCCATTCTGGATTTTCCCCGTCTGGATTTCGATCTGCCACGATTTGAATTTCTTTCTAAAGTTCTCCCTCTAGACTCCGTGTGCAAGGCTGAGGAGGTTGATGCTCCACCCGATTCTCTCCGTCGAATTTCTTCGCTCAGTACCAGATCTCGAACATCGTCGAATTTCAATTTACTGTTTCATGAAGAGCTGCTAACTGCTGTAACAGTAGCATTCCAACTGTCTGGTAGAGATGATAAGAGAATTAAAGCTCGAACTTCATCATCAAATTCAATTTCCACGAACTCAACTGGGTTGTAATTGTGTTGAGTTCATTTAGGTGTTGAGCCACTGATGCCCCTTCCGCCATCCGCAAATTGAATAATCGCCTCATCAAATGAAATTTGTTTGAGGCCGATGGTTTCTCATACATACTTGAGAGAGCCGCCATAAGACCCTCTGTGGTCTTTTCCTTTGCTATGTTGAAAGCAACATTGTCGGATAACGTTAGTTGGATAACTCTGAGGGCTTGTATATCGAGAAGAGGCCAATCTTCATTCTGCATGCCCTCTGGTTGCTTTCCTAAGAGAGGTTGATATAGATTTTTCTGGTACAAAAAATCTTCAATCTGCATCTTCCAAAAGCCAAAGTCCGCACCATCGAACTTTTCAATTTTCACATTCCCTTTGTCTGCAGCCATCGCTCCCACTCGAATCTGGCTTCGTTTGGATCGTTTCTGACAATTCATGCGAACCACCGTGTATTAGAACACCTCTGTCGACAAATTCGTATCGTCGACAAAATTTCACTATTCACAAAATTCACTATTCATGTGAATAGTAATGAATAGTAACCTCGCAAAAAATTGACAAAATTCACAACCAAAAGCTCTGACACCAGTTGTTGGGAAATAAACCGAGAACGAGTAATTTCCCTATAACCATATTAGTGAGAATGCGAAATAAAAGAGGAAAAATAATACCCGAAATTGATAACGGAGCTCAGTCAATTTTGCTTACGTCTCCAGACTGCTGCAGATCTTTTACTAAGAGATAAAATTTATAGGTGTTTACAAAACACTCACTACTCACAAGAAAGCTCTCTAGTATTGGGAGAAAGAAATGATTTTTTGGGATGATTTTGAAGCTAAATGGTTAGAGTATTTATAGTTGAAGCTTAAGGACTAATCTTATAAATACCCTAAAGTCCAGTGACTAATTATAATTATCCCATTACAATTTTTCAACAAACATATACCAAACTTTGAAAAACCATTTTTCAAAGAAATATTTACCAAACTTTGAAAACCATTCTCAAAAAAACATTTACCAAACTTTGAAAACCATTTTTTCAAAGTTGGTTGCCAAACTTTGAACTTTTAACAATTGTTTGGTCATATATGCAGATTGGTGTGGGACTAATGATGTTTCAACAATTCGGAGGGATAAATGGAGTTGGTTTCTACACGAGTGAAACGCTCAATTCAGTAGGTTTGCAGAACTTTTATTTCATAATAAAATTGTTTTATCTTCCATTCATGTTTTTTTATGAAATCAAAGAAGATTTCTCCATTTCAGGCTCTTCTTCTGGGAAAATTGGAATAATAGCTTTTGCATTAATCCGGTATCCACTCCATTTGCATTTGTTTGAGTTATTCTTTGCATATTGTGTTTATTTAATATTTAAAATTATTCATCAAAAATATATTTAAAATTATGAATCGAATTATCTACCGAGTTTTTGCTTAGTTGATATGGTTGTTATTATATTTTAAATATCATAAATTCGAATGTATTTAAGTATATAATAACTTTTTTATTAATTTAAGACAAATATAAAGTAATACTTGTTTAAAGATAACTGTCAATAATTTGACATTTAACACTTTGAATGAATGATTCAAATCCCTATCACCGCTGTGGGTGCGATCTTGGTGGATAATTGTGGAAGAAAACCGCTTTTGCTAGTAAGTCTCCAACCACGTTTAGTTTACTTAAATTCTTTATTGTTTCTGATATTTATTAATGTTTGGGTCCCAATATTTTTGGATATGACATAAAAGAAATAATACTCATTTCATACATATATCATCTGATATTTCAATCAATTAATATATGGTTACAACAATGCACTGCAACGTAATTGGTAGCGGGTTTTTTTCCTATAGCGGCGTCTAAAAGCGTCGCTAAAAATATTGTGGGCGCAAAATAAATGCCGCAAAAAACGCTGATAATACAAACATCACAACTATTAGTGACGTTTTCAACTAATAAATGCCTCTAAAGGTCAAGTTATATAGCGACGTTTTTTGGCGCAAACGCCGCAATAGGTTTGATATTTCTAGGCGTTTTCCCGCAACAAGTGGCGTTTTTAGTCACAAATGTTGCAACAGATTTGGTATTTAGTGGCGCTTTGGGCACAAACGCTACAATAGGTTGGTCATTTAGCGGTGTTTTTAGTCACAAACGTCTCACCAGATTTGATATTTAACGGTGTTTCGGGCACAAACGCTGCAATAGGATGGTCATTTAGCAGCGTTTCCCCCTAAAAACGTCGCCAATTATGCACTCTGTTAATGGCGTTTTGCCCCTAAAATGCCGCTAATCGAAACTGATTTTCAACATATCTTCTTCGTATTTTGTATTACCCAAATTTAACCTGTAACAATATACAATAGCCATCTTAAATATAATTACGATTCGAATTAAGTAATAATACATAAAAACATAAATAAATCAAAGTTTACAAACATCCAATTTAAATATAATGTAGTTTAACATTTTTCAATAACATAAACAAAGCATTAACCTAAGAAAACACCTAGGATGATGAGTTCTTCGTTTGATTCTGATGCATCATCTTCTTAATAGCTTTAATTTTAATTTGATTTTGAAGTTCATATTTTTTGCATTAACCTAAGAAAACACCTAGGATGATGAGTTCTTCGTTTGATTCAGCTGCATCATCTTCTTCATAGCTTCAATTTAATTTTGAAATTCTTCATATTTTTTGGAAATGTTGCTTCTCTCGCTGCTCTCTCTGCAATAAACGAACAACAATATTAGTAACTACGGACAACAATACTATTAATATATATATTCGTCGACATCAACATATATAAATGATAACATTATAAATTAATCAATTAAGATATAAAATCTAACTACATTGTTATGTCATACCAATTTTCATAAATATCTTCATCCATGGCATCCCAAAACCCATTGGAATTATGAACTAGTACTAGTAATAGGTTAATCTAAATTTTGTGCTAGAAAATGCAAAGTATATGGTCTTGTTTCAATGTCATCTCTACTTCCATCCCCGATGTCTATCAAGTTTCTAGGGGTGTTACGAAGTACAACATACCAACCCTCATCCATTGGATCGTGACAGTAAAAAACTTGTTTGACTTGAGAAGAAAAAATACACATATGGCTCGTCTATCAATTGCTGACCAGTGTGAATTAATCGAGAAAAGTTCACTATTGTAAAACCTAATTGATCTCTTTTAATACCTCGAGTAGTATTTACATCATCCCAACCACACCAAAATAACACAACCTTTCGTTTGCCATAATAATTCAACTCAATGATATCAATAAGAATTCCATAATATTCTACATCTCCCTCCGTAGGATGGTTGTCTCTAGCACTAGCATAACTTGTAGTTGAAGAAGTAACAACTACTCCACATTTTGTGTCCTCCTTAATCTTTCACAAGATTTTGTGTGGAACCTGAACCCATTAATGAGGATGGCATTATATTTTTTAACAATTCTATTCGGACCTTGAGAAAGTCATTTAACCTCTTCACTAACTTCTCTCCCACTCCAAAACTTTTACGCATGAAAGGTGAATCGGTTAGCATTTATATCAATATATTAAAACAAGAAGAGTTATACATAATTTACGTGTCGTGCAAGGATTTATTTGCTTACCGTATGCCCTAACCATTCATGAAAAGTTTCTATGAATAATTTTTGAATGTGTCTATGTTGTATTCTTCTAGAGCGTGATTGAGATCTTAAGACTTCTTTAAACTCACTATAAAGAAGATTATGTGGTTAAAGAACGAAAAATATGAAAGTTCACGAGAAAGTACATTAGAATTTTTATTGTTAAACTTACGTGCGTAAAGGATCTAATGAATCGTGATGGAAAAGAACATATCAGTGTGCTTGTACCCAAGACTTCTCATCTAACTATGCAATTTCAACTTTGCCGAGTGGTTCACCATAACTTCCAAACAAATAAGTCTCAACTAAGTATGGAATATTGGACACTTCATTTCTATTTGGTCTATTCAATCTTGTTTCAACATCTTCCAAATATCGAGAGCAAAAAGTTATACACTCCTCTGCCAAATACCCTTCAACAATTGATCTTTCTGGATAACACTTATTACGACAGTAAGACTTCAACTTGCACAAAAACCTAGACACGAACCACAACATTATATTAATAGTTTTCATTCAAAGATATGTTCAATGTAGATTGAACACATATAATTCAATTAGCACCTCTCTATAGGATACATCCACCGATAGAAAACTGGTCCACCAACTTTTGCTTCATTAGGGAGATGAACTAGCAAATGCACCATAATTGTTAAGAATGAAGGTAGAAATATCTTCTCCAGATTGCATAAAGTCAAGGCGACTCAATCTTGCATTTTCTCAAGTTCTTCAACCATTAGAACTTTCCCACAAATAGCTTTCATTATATTGGAAAGTTCAATTATACAAGACGTCACCTTATTCAACATGCAATCATGTAAAGCAACTGACAGTAAATCTTACATCATTATATGATAATCATGTGACTTTAGAGAATAAAGTCTTCGATCTTTAACACTGACATATCGGGATATATTTGATATATACCCATCTGAGACTTTATATCCTTCAACACCGTGCAAAAGACTTCTTTTTCTTTCTTCAACATTGCAAAAATAGAAGGCAGTAACACTGACACATCGAGATATATTTGAAGCTATTGACAAATGTTAGGTTTATGGCTTTATATTTCATGTTCAATGCAAGTTCTTGTTCTCAGCTGGATTTTTTTTACTTGCCAATATTCGTACTAAATTACTAATGGCTGACTTTATATTTCCATGTTCAATGCAGTTTATTGTTCTCAGCTGGATTACTTTATGAGATCAACAAGATTTCAGGAGTGAATGTTTCTAAAATTTAATAAAAACAAAGAGGCACTGAGTTTAAAGATCATTCCCTTTCAGAATAAAAGTTAGTATTTGATTAGAAGGTTGTTTGGTTGTGGCGTTGTGCTATTAGGACTATATATAATCAACGATCACCGATAATTTCAATATAGAAATTTTCCGTTAGAGGTCATGTTCACGTGTTATTAGCTCACCCTTGATTTCCTTTGAATGAAGAATTTTGAGAAGAGTTATTGTTTTCCTCTCCATTTTGCTTTGTTTTCTTTAATATAATAAAAACAATGTAAGAGTGTATTCTTGTTTGTGTGGAAGCAAATGACAAAATGCAGCCATGGCTAGAAGAGAACTCAAGACTTGAACTGCAAATCATCTTTTGATTTCCATTTGTTTCCAATCCCCGAACTTTATTCTTCTTTCTTATTTTCTTATCAAGGTAGTCAATACTGTTTTTGTTTTGGTATAAGTGTATTCTAGTGTATCAGTGCTGAGTTTATCAATATATTTTTTTATAAAAAATTATATTATATATGCAAATATACCTCAATAACATACATTTATATCCATATACAAACAGAGTTGTGCACTGTGTGCATACATGCATAGTTGTGCTCAAGGTATTTTGAATTTTCAATCAATGTCGAACAAAAAATTACCTTAGCCTCCCAATACTTATCAGCACCCCACCGAACTAGTTATCGAGGAAAAAACAAAGTCCAGAGAATTTCCTAAAGAATTTTCCTAATTTTTTGGGTTTCAATCGCGCACAACCAAAAAGCATTCCCTAAAGCATTCTCCTAATTTTATTTCTGAACAGCTAGATGCAGCAGAATTTTCAGCAAGTATTATTTTCAGATAAATAAAATAAAAGTCCCGAAAAAGAAGAGAAATATGTGAAGCAAATGCAGGTTCTAACCTTTGTCGTCCCGAAAAAGGTAGAGGAGATCCTTGGGTTTTAATCGTCTGGGTTCCGGTGATTGTTGGAATTAGTAGGCGTATCTTTCTAGACTGTTGTACCGACGGCCGACACTGCCTTTATATGGGAGAACGGTGGCTAGTTTCGCTCGACGCGTTGAACGGTGGTCTGTTGTAGCTTCGTGGGTTCTTGAAGAAACCAAGTAAAGAAAAAAAGAGATGGAAATGGTCTGCTATAGCTTCGTGGGTTATCGCAGAAACCAAGTAAAGAAAAAGAGATGGAAAAAGTTACCCTTTGGGTTATTGGAGATAACTGTTGCGGCGTTTTCAAATTACAATGTGCTTAAAATTTCAGCGTGACGTAACCGTTTTTTCCGTTGAAACGATTGTTTAATTGTTTTAAAATCAGTTTCGACTTTAAATTTGAGAAAATTAACGGTTTTGAATTGATTTGGAATAATTTAGATAGAGTTACCATCAACCTTTGGGTTAGGTAGGTCGAATATCTAAAAACGTCTTTTAAAAATAATTTTTAGAAAAATCATTTTTAAGACAAAAGTTGGTATGCGTTTACCAAAGATTCGATTAAAACGGGTTCGGGAGTCGGTTACGCGTGAGGAATGATTAACACCCCACAACGCCCAAAATTGGTACTGTGTCGCTTACACGTTGTCGTAAATGGTGAAAATCATGAATTAAATATCAAGTTAAAATATGATCCGTTTATTGAAATTTAATTAATTTACTTCAGATTAATAACTTAAAAAAATAAAATAAGTAGATAAACTTATAAGAACTAAAATGCAACAAATCAAAAACTTGAAGTCTAAATTGCAATTAAACCAAATTAAAACAATGACTAAAAC